TAATTATTTGTAGATTGACAACTACTTGTATATTCAATGTCAATAAAGCAGAAGTGTATCAAAATTTTATTAGTTTTTCTGATGTCATGGCCATTATAAAGAAGTGAGACCAATGATAGTATAGGGGAAGAATATAAAATAAAAGAAGCATATTGTATTCCACCTTTATTTATTGTACAGACATTATCATTGAAACTGAAGACTTAATCTATAGCTACAACTTTTAAAAAATCATACTACTTATTTTTTTTTCTGCCCTGGGTTCCCTGTTTATACTAGTTTATATATATAATTTTGTAGGTAGTTACAATCATAGCGGAATACAATTTTGTGTTTGACATTTTCTGTATTGTTATACTTTATAAGTTAATTTTAAGTTATACAATAGTAATATATCTAGAGCTCACATACTGTATAGTATATGCTACCATTGTGTTTATACTTGTGGAAATATTAAATTCCTTAAAATGATATCTAAGTTTTATGCCTAAGCTTTCTTTACCATTTACTATAGTGTGTGTGTGTGTGTGTGTGTGTGTGTGTGTGTGTGTGTGTGTGTGTGTGTGTTGGTTTTTTTTTAAATTTATTTATTTATTTTTAGTTGGGAGTCTCACTTTTTCATCCAGGTTAGAGTACAGTGGCATGCTCAAAGCTACCACAGCCTCAACCTGCTGGGTTCAGGTGATCCTTCTGCCTCAGCCTTCCAAGTAGCTGGAACTACAGGTGCATGTCACCATGTTCCCACTAATTCTTTTATTTATTGTAGAGACAAGGTCTCGCCAGTTGTCCAGGCTAGTCTCAAACCCCTGGGCTGAGGCAAACCTCTTGCCTCCACCTTCCAAAGTGCTGGGATTATAGGAGTAAGCCGGCACTCTGGCTTTTTTTCTAGTATTAATTGCACACGGTATTCATAGGGTTGAGTAAGACCTTTTTCCTATTGAGAGAAAAAAAAAAATGTTCTTTAAGCTAAAGTAATAAGATTGTTTCACTTAAATTCTTCATTCTACTTTTGCTGTGCAAAGTAAATCACAGAAACTCCAAGATGCAGTTAAACATGTAATTGTAAATACTGTTTTTGATACTTTACCAACCTTTTGTTTTTTCAAAGTATTTTTATGAGTCACCAAAATAATATATGTTCATTACTCATAAAGTGGAAAAAGAAAAAATTCCTCATAATTCCACCTCCTAGAGACTACTGACATTTTTGTATTATTTCTCAACCTTTTTTCTCTTATTTCCTTTATTCGTATGAATGATATCACTTAAGTCTGGATTTTGCCCTTTTCATTTAGCATAAGAAATAATGTATGCAATAATGTTATAAACATTGGAGCGACAACTTAGTCTAGAATTTTAAGAGTAGCCAGTGGTTTTGTAGCCAGCCTGCCTGGGTTCAAAATTCTGGCTCCACCTCTTATTAGTTGTGTAACCTTGGGTAACTTTACCATATCAACTGTAAAATGTAATGTTACATACTACATGGGTTTTTTATGAGAAATGAATGAATTAATATTTATAGAGCTCTTAAATAGTGTCTGGCACATACTATGTACTGTGTGTTTTTAATTAACATTTTAATAGTTGCATAACAGTCAGTTGTATCAATGAACCTATTTATTTCTTATTTTTGGGCATTTAAGTTGTCTGTAGTTTTTACCAGCCTTAATATATTATTCACTTCCAACCACTTCCAAATAGTAACTGATGTGAGTTTTTCTGCATCATCAAATATTTATACTATATGGATGTTCCTTAAGGATTGTTCAGCAAGGTATACATTGAACGTATAAGATCTAAGAATTTTTTTTTTTGAGTTGGAATCTCACTCTGTCACTCAGGCTGGAGTGCAGTGGCATGCTCAGTGGCTACTGCAGCCTCACCCTGAGGGCTCAGGCGATCCTTCTGCCTCAGCCTTCCAAGTAGCTGGAACTACAGGCGCACACCACCACACCTGATAATTTTTAATTTATTGTAGAGGTGAAGTCTCACCAAGTTGCCCAGATTGACCTCAAACCCCTGGACTCAGGCTGTCCTCCTGCCTCTGCCTCCCAAAGTGCTGGGATTACAGGCGTGAGCCACCTTGCCTGGAAAGAACTAAGAATTATTAAGAGTTTGGTCCAAAATTAAATAAGTGAGAGAAAGCCGTTTATGAGACTTTCGAGGAGAACAAAAACCACAATTAACGAAAAGTTTTGGAGTAAAAATCAGGTACTATGAAAATGGCTGCCATTTAAAAATTTCTCTCGTACTGGTTCATTGTTTTTTCATTTTACTTTAAGTTAGACTTATTTAAATTGCCTGAATATTGCTTTAAGTAAAAAGAATTAGAACTACATTGTTTCCTCATTTTTCTGTCCACATCTCATATTGTTTTTCTTGCAATGTAGCATAATGGGTTAAGACAATAGATTTTGGGCTGGGTGCTAGCTTACCTATTTATTAGCTATGTGACCATGATTGAATTATTTACTCTCTGTCAGCCCCAATTTTATCATTTGTAAAATGGGAATAATAGTAGCTACTTTGTAATGTTGTGATTAGGGCCTGGCACATGTTTTCCATGTGGTGTCTGGGTGACAGAGTGAGACTCCAACTCAAAAAAAAAAAAAAAAAGTGAAACTTGAAGGTGAAAGGCCAATGTCCCTCATTTGTTAGTTCAACTAGTACTTACTGAACTCTTGCTATATGCCAGTCATAGAGGTTAATACTACTACTGCTACTCAGGATGCAGCCCTCAAAGAGCTTATGATTTATGAACACAGGAAAGTGACTATAAAGTGAGGAGATGACTAAGACAAGGTTAAAAGAGAACTCTGTGAGCCCCAAAGCAGATGGGATAGTTAATAAATAGGAGAAAGTTTTAAAGTAGGAATGGGAAACATTGTGAAACAAAATGCTGAATACTAGAAAAGTAACAATCTCTAAGAAGTGTTTATCGAGAAAACTCATGTTCTAGAATGAGGTTTATATTC